AAAAACAATGGACATTAAATGGATTGCCAGACTTTCAGGATTTTGTTGTAAAAAGACCTGAAATCAATAGAAAATACACACAAACGTAAACATCAGGAGTAGAATTTATTAGGTAAAAAAAGCAGGGATAGTAATCATGATCTCAGGCAAAGTTAAAGCTAAAATAGATTTAATCAAAACAGAAAAATAAGGAAACCACTATATGCCAGCTAAATTAATCAATATTGTTTTAGACTATTTAAAATAACTAGATACTATAAGGCTGGAATATTGCTGTGGTGTAGAAAATGATGAGTTGGTGGATTCAGAAAAATATGGAAAGACTTAGATTCATGAAGGAAGATGTTATCTACTTTTAGAGAAATAGAGTACAGTCTTACATAGATGTATGTATGCAAGTGTATGATTATAGATATCTATTTATGTACATGTATGTATACATATAAGTATTTAAACATATATACATACATATGTAAACATATACATATTTTCACCTCAAATCAATACCACTGTTGCTTCTTGAAAGGGTTTATTAATTAAGTGTCTGATGGCTCTATTCACCAGACTTCCCAGACTGAAACACTCTTCTTTTAACTTTCATTTAATTTATTTTCATTCATTATCTGCATTTCCCACACCTCTCAATTAAATGTTAAAAAAAAATTTTAAGTCATAACAATAAGTACAAATAAGTCCAGTAAGACAAATTCCCGCACTGGCCATTTGCAAAAAACATATGTCTCATTCTTCATTTTCAGTTCTTCATTTAGAAGTGTGCTTCACCAGTCCTCTGCCATCCTGGTTTATCATTAATCACAGCTCTAAAGACTTTGAAAGTTTTTTCTTTATAATGTTGTTGTCGTGTACATTTTTCACCTAGCTCTACTCACTTCACTCTGCATTAGTTCATAAAAGTTTTCCCAGATTCTTCTGAAAATGTCCATTTCATTATTTCTTATGATATAGTAGTATTTCATTACAAAGTCATATACCATAATTTGTCCAGCCATTCTTCAATAGGTAGCTATCCCCTTAATTTCCAGTTTGGGTCTACTAAGAAAAAGGTTGGTATAAATATTTTTGTATATATGGATTCTTTTCCTTTGACATCATTGGAGTAGAGGCCTAGTAATCATATTGCTGGGTGAAAGATGGGCAATTTAAAAGTTAAATTTAACACTTTGTGGCAAATTGCTTTGTGGACAAGTGCTAATACTGCTTTCCAGAACAGCTGAACCAATTCATAGCTCCATTGACAGTTTATCAATATGCCTGTTTTCCTGCAGTTCCTCCAGCATTTGTCATTTTCCTCTTGTCATATGTGCCAATCTACTGGATGTGAGATAAAAACTCAGAGTTGCTTTATTCTGCATTTTTGTAATCATTACTGATTGAAGTATTATTTTCATATGGTTGTTGACGATCTCTTGAAAACTGTATGTTCATATCTTTTCATCATTTATCTACTGGGTTCCTTATATATTGTAGATATGAGACCTTTAATAGAGAAACTTGCTCCTGAGAATGAACTGTGAAACACCCTTTCTTGGCCACTACTCCCCTATATTAATAGTCTCTTTCCCTGACCCTTAGAATGTAAGTTCCTTGAGGGCAGGGACTGTCTCACTTTTGTATTTATATCTCCAGGGTTTAGCATAGTGCTTGGTACACAGTAAGCATTTAATAAATGCATTTTTAATTCAATAAATATTTATTAAGCTCATACTATGTGCCAGCCACCATACTAAGCCTTAAAGATACACACACAAAAGGAAGACAGTACCTGGCCCAAGCTGCTGACATTCTAATCAGAACTGATATTCTAATAACATATTTAAAGACAAGAAAATACAACATGTTAAAAAATAAATACTAAGTGACTGGGAAAAACTAACAATTGGTAGGGACAGAGAGGTTGGGGTAGGGAAAAATAGAGAATGATAAAAGCTATTTTAAAATGAAGACATATCTTTAAAGTGTATTAATTATAAAAATTTGTAACCAAAAGTATGATTCAATGTATTAAAAAATTGCTCTATACACAATTTTCCAGGAATACATCAACATTTTCACTTCAGAAAAAGGATAATTATACTATATTGGAAAATAATGCGATACGATCATCTCTGTATGTCATAACAATCTTTTTTCACCCTAGGTTGTCTTCTTTCCAATGCTCAGGAAGGCAAATTTACACTTGTGTGCACACACACTCACTCTCTCTTTCTTCCTATCATCTCAAGCTATCATCCTATATCTCTCATCCCTTTCCCAGAAAAAAATTCCTAGTAAAAGCTATCTGTACATATTGCCTTCACATCCTCTCCCTTCCCTCACTCCTCAAACCTTTCCAATATGCTCTTGACCTCATCACTTTTCATCATAAGTAAAACTATTATCCACAAAGTTGTCAAAGATGCATTAACTGCCAAATCTGATGGTGTTTTCTCAGTCCTCATCTTTCTTGATCTGTTTGCTCCATTTTTCACTCCTGACTGCTCCATCTTCCTAAACATTTTCTTCTCTCTAGGTTTTTGTGACCTCTTCTGGTTCTCATCTATTCTTCTCTATCTTCTTTGCTGGATGATCATTCCTACCATGTGCTTTAGTTGTCAATGCTCCTCTCCCATCCCCACCCCATCTCTCCAGGGCTCTGGCCTAGGCCCTCTTCTTTCTTACTATAACTTCATCATTCCTCATAGATTTCATTATTATGTCTATGCAGAATACTCCCAGATATATGTATGCAACCTTAGTCTCTCCCTTGAACTTCAGTCCTATATCACCAACTTGTCTATTATATATTTCAAACTGGATGTCCCAGAGACATTTCAAACTAAATATGTCCAAAATAGAATTTTATCATCTTTGCTCCCTCACCCCAAATCTTCCTGTCTTCCAAGCTTCCCTAATTCTATTGAAGGTGCCATCACTATTCTATTATCTTAGGTTTGGAAAGTCAATAAACATTTACTGAGCCCCTATTATGTGCTAGGCACTGTGCTAAATGCTGCGGATACAAAAAGAAGAAAAAGATAGCCCCTGCCTCAAGGAGGCAATTTGATAGGGGAGACAACAAGCAAACAAATAAGTACAACAAGCTATATAAAGAATAAACATGAAATAAATAAGAAAGGGAAGGCACGAGAATACAGAGGGGTTGGGAAAGATTTCCTGTAATAAATGGGATTTTAGCTGGAACTTAAAGGACACCAGGATAATGAGGAGGGAAAGCTTTAGAGGCATGGGGGCAGCCAAAGAAAACAGTCAGAGCCAAGAGATAGAGTGTCATTTTTCACTACTTTTAATTTTAACTCTCTCACTCTGTAGGGTATCTAATTAGTTGCCAAATCTTGCCATTTCTGCCTCTACATTTCTTGCTTCTGAGCCTATCTCTTTATTCACATAACTATAATTTTAGTTCAGATCCTTATTACAGCTTGCCTAGATTATTACAGAAATCTCTTAAATGGTCTTCCTAAACCAGGTCTCTTGTCTTCTCTAACTCATCCTTCTACCTTGACATACCAAATTTCCTTGAGCAATGCTACCTAATCAATAAACTCCAAAGACTCTTTATTGCTTCTCAATAAAAAATGAACTCTTTAGTTTCACTATTAAAAGTACTTCACAATCTGTGCCCAACCTAACTTGCCAGTCTCACTGGACAGTATCACAGATTCCATACTCTGCAATCCAGCCAAACTGGCCTTCTCTCTGTTACTCACACACAACAATCCATCTCCTCTCTTCATGCCTTTGTACTGGCTGTCCCCCATGCCTGGAATGCACTACCTCCTTATTTCTACCTCAAAGAATTTCCCTCTTCCTTTAGGATACAACTCAAGCACTACCTTCTCTATGATGCCCTGATTGATCCTTTCAGCTGCTAGCATCCCCTCTACCTCAACTACCCTGTATTTAACTACTTTGCATAATTTATTCTATCTACATTTTCACATGTCCTTGTCTCTCTCATTAGAACGAAAATTCCTTGCTTATAGCAATTATGTTATTGATTATACTTGACTTCCTATTACGGAGAACAATGCTTGGCAAACAGGATGTGCAGCATAAATGTTTGTTGATAATATAAAACATAACTGGAAAAGTAAACCAGTTGTAAAAACACCATATAAATATGTTCCAAAGCTAAATATAGATAATATTTGACATTATGATTTCTCATTAGTCTGAGGTTTTTGTTTTTATTGTACTTCTATCATATATCTTATAGTTATTTGTATCTCATCTTCTATACTCTAGTCTTCATTAGTATAGTGTTTCTTTAATCCATGTCTTTGCATTGGTTATTCCCTTTGCCTCTTATTTCCCTGGTTTAATTTAAGACATAGCTCAAACCTCACATTCTCCAACAGGCCTTCCCTCTTCTGTTTCCCCTTGGCAGATTACTCTCATCTACTCTGTACATCTCTTCTATGTACCTAGCTATTTACATGTTATGTCTCCCCCCAACACAACCTCCCACTGGAATGAATGCTCCTTGAGATCAAGGATTGGTTTTTTGGCTTTTGGTCTTTCTTTGTACTCCAGCACTTAGCACAGTACCTGGCACACAGTAACAGCTTAATAACTGCTTGCTGATTAACTGATTTGCTTTTTCACTTTATTAATGTTTAGCATAAAGGCTGCATTTGTATATAGTAGGTGCTGAACTAATAATCTCATACTTTCTATTATTTATATTCTTTTTCATTGATAATTAAGCAGACTTGGTATGCAACAAGGGCAATTACCCTATTATTTTACTATGGACAACTTGAATTAAAATGCAATGGAAGCTAAGTAGTTAATTAAATAACTTTCCCAATGGATAAAAATCTCTACAGTAGTCTTATGCTATTCCTGGTGATTAAACATTCTGTCATTCATTCATCAAACACAGTGTCTACTATGTATCAGGCATCATACTCTGATACTGTCACAGGGTTTTACACGAGAAGATTTTTGACAGTCTAATGAGATACTCTGTAGCTTACCTTTTTTTTGGTAGTCTCCCATCATCCAACATAAGTGCCCAGATTTGATGAGTCCCTGCCATAGCTATCCATAGAATATCATCTCTACCGACCTCTGAAAGTTTAAGAAAATAAATGGTAGTATATATTTCTCACAAACAAAAGTAATTAATTAGACCGTTTGATGGTTTTAAATTAAGGGAGTATAGTAACCTGTTTTTCAGGCATCCCAATTTGACTTGGGTAGTGGGAAATAAAATGTTTGAAAATTCACTTTATAACTTACATGTGAGACACGTTTTTTAAGACATTTAATTTCATACTGCACTGGTCTGACACATTTATAGCTTATTCTAAGAAATGATCTGTCACCCCTTATCTATGATTATAGCCTTTAATGTGTACAGAAAACAGATTAATTTCTGTCAAAAAGATTTGCCAGTGGAATACCACTACATAAATACCAAAATTTTATGCTTCTACAATGTGGACTTTGAACAATTTCCAAGACTTTTGTGTTTTAATTGTCCAAGCAATATGTACTCCTATCAGCTGGATTTTAGGCTTAGAGACTCATTCAAAGACTGTATTTGAAAACAAACTGTTTCTAATAACTAGCTGTATTAAGAAGATTGTAATAAGCCATTTACATTAGAGAATTGAAGAAAAGGTTGTACTGTTTTTTTCTACTAATGACAAATTCAAGTAGTTAACTTTCTATTATTCTGTTTTCTAACTTTTAACGGCAGTTCCTAATCTATTCTTTAAGATAAAAGCTAAGTCAATTTATTTTAGAAAAAGACAAAAGAACAAAGCAACCTACTTCTAAAATGTACTCTACTTGGGATATATTTAAATATGTAATAGTTGTAAATTCATTCTAAGGCTGTTTTCAAAAGTAATTTAAATGGAAATTTTCACACTAAAGTAAACTGGACTCAATTACCAATGTGTCACTTTATAAATAAACTTTTGAGTAGATCAAGGTTTTGATTCCATAATGAATTTTTAAAGTTGTACTTTTGTGGAATTAAATATATATGGCATATATATGTGTGTGTGTGTGTGTGTGTGTGTGTGTGTGTGTGTGTGTGTGTGTGTGTGTGTGTGTATTTCACATTAAATTTATGCACTATCAACCATCTGGGTAATATCATAAATACAAAGGATCAAAAAACAAAAAATATGGTCAGTTCTTGAATTCCCACCCAGGATCTATGTAGGTTGGTGAGTATGTCACATGGTCCATGATATTTTATCTAAAGCAGACACGTTTCACCTTCCACCTTAGCCATCTTCTCGCCATTCACCCTGCCTTCTAATGTAACTTTCCAAACCACTGGACTCTGCCATTTGCCCTGCTGCTGAAAACTCTAGATCACTAGAGACAATGCACTTTGGTCTACGCTCTAGAACTCCTGACTGAGGATCCACATTACTCTATTTGTTGAGTACGTTACATGGCTCAATATATACATCTAGTGCCAGTCATGCTTCAAATTTCATTCTGGTTATTTTGCCACCTACTCTACTGCCATGCAAATGTACCCCTTTTCTTCAATCCCCTTCCAGCACTGGAACCATAAGCAAATGAATAGTGCCACTGTTAAGGGAAAAGACCTGTCAATCACCTCTCCTATGGCTCCCTTCACCCTCTTATGACTTTTTCAAATCAAAACACTTCATCCTTGTCCATTATTTGCTTCTCTCTGTTAGAATGTAAGCTCCTTGAGGGCAGGGACTATTTCTGTATTTGTACCCAGTGTTTGCACACTGTAAGTGTTCAATAAATGTTTTTTCACTCATTCATTCAACTAAAACCAAACCTAGTTAAGAGATGATCATTTTCAGTTATGACTGAAACATAACATTTAAAATTAAAGATTAAAGTTAAATCAATTTAAATTTTCTTCTAAACATCTAGCCTAAAGAAAACTGTCTGGTAAAGTAAATGGAGTCACAAAAAATCAGAAATGACTGAAAAATGACTGAACAACAACAACAACAAAAACAAAACTAAAGAAATTAAGAAACTATGTAAAAGGAAATTACTATGCAATCCTCTGAAATTTCCTGAAAAAATATGGCTGGAATGAAAACAACCTTCTATTTAAACCACAGGAAGAAGGTCAGACTGAACATAATTAATTACTGTAATTAGCCACTGATTATTGGCAATAAATTTACAGGACTAATATGTTAGATGCATGAAATCCTAATTTTTCAGTGTATCAAAAAGTTGCATATTCAAAGTCTTTAAATATTTTAAACTCACCCTTCAATTTCAATGAAACTACTAATCTCTAAGCTTATTCTCATGCATTCAACAAGTTTACAGAACACCTGAATAAACATTTTGAGAGAGATGTAGAACACAGGATTCCACCTCTTTAGATTATAACATGAAGGACAGTATTAACATAATAAATAAGCATATTATATTTAATATTTATGATATATTTTAAAAAGACAGGTTGGAACTTAAAATGTAACAAAATAAATTAGGTTAAATTTTTAAAAAAAGATGATAGTCTTCTGGATAATGCCTTATACTCACATAGTGTTATTTCTTCCTCATGGTATGTTAAAGCCCTTTACAGAAGTAGATTCCCCATTTTCCCCATCTTTCCAAAAGGAACTACAGTATTTACTATGAAAAACACAGTTACTTCAAGGTCATAATGTTATTAGGTAGGCAACAGCAAATGAAATAAAAGTTCCTGAGCACAGGAACAACTCCAACAGAGTGGTAACTTAGGAAAATTACTCAAACAGATACATGATAGATAAACTGAGGAACTAGACTGGACAAATTAGAAGGCTCTAACAACATATTTTGCAAAAAGAGATGGGGGCCAGGAATAGTACGGTGGCAGCAGAAACGTAAGGACAACAGACAGAAGAATTTCAATGTAAATTTGATATGAGTTGGTAACTGAAAGGGCATGAAGGGATATGGGAGACAAAAGGATCAAAAATGACTCAAGTTACGACTTTAGGTGGTTAGTTCAGAATGGGTTTGATGAACTATCCAGCAGGCCACCAGAGATCTAGGCTAGAACTGAGGGAAGAGAATGAGGCTGAGATGTAATCACTCATATTATTAAAGCCATGACAGCAGATAAAAACATCAAAGGAGAAAAGAGGTTCAAGAACAGAATTTTGGAGGATACACACATACAAGGGGGCAGAAGGACGAAGAGTCAACAAAGAGGGCAGGAGTGACTGAGGAGTTAGGAGAGCTACGAGAGTACAGAATCATAGAAGCTACTACAAGAGAAGAACATTATGTAGGATAAAGTGAGAACAAAGGCCACAGGATTTGGAAATGAAATTATTAGTGCCCTTACTGATAGCAGTTTGAGGAACACTGTGGAAAATAATGACAGACTGCAAAAGGCTGAGGATGGAGTGGATGCTGACAAAGTGTGGGTACTACTCTTTCTACGAAGTTAAAGGAGAAATACAATAATAGCATGAGCTGTTATGTAGGTCAAGAGAAGTCCCTTCCCCCACGCCCAGAATGGGGAAATCTGTACATATATATAGGCTGAGAGAAAAGAAATGGTTGAGAAGGAAGAATGAAGATACATGAGAGAGAGAGAGAGAGAAAATGTTTCACGGAACAAGGTCACAGGAAATGGGATGAGTGATTCAGACAGAAGTATACCTTTGAGAAGATGGGGTAGTGCTTTCTCTGAAACTAGAAAGATGGATGAAAGAATAACTGATGTCACTGAGAGTTTAGGAAACTAGCTGAAAGAATTCAGGCCTTATTCTTCAGTAAAGTGGGAAACAAGGTTTGTCTAGAAAGGCAAAAAGCATATAAAGAAGTATTTTTTAAAGATGAAAACTTTTCAATTAAAACATAGATTTTAGATAGAAGGAATAAAACAGGTGAATAAGTTTAGTAAGTGCAACTTGTAACTTTTTCTTCAAAATTCATAAAATTCTCTTACTTTGTCCTTCGATTATTTGAAGCTAATGAGATCCAAATAATCCCCGCTACCAGAACTATCATAAATGTTCTTATCAAAAGCAAACTTTTCCAAGCTCTTTGATCTAGTACATTACTCTAGGTAGTACATTACTCTAGTAGCAGTAGTTTGTATTTAACATTCAAAACTAACAGTTATCATTCATAACTTTTCATTTTATTATTGACAAATACTAATACACTATTTATGAAATAGGACGGCTTACAAAGAAAATAAACATCAATGGATTATAAATACCTAAAAGACAGAAGTCCAATATTTAGAGGAGTTGGTACATTTTGGGCTTATATATTGAACACTTTTTATTTAACTCTTCCCTGAAATATCAGAAACTCTAGAAAGCAGAAAATTTTTTTATTCATTCATACAGCCTGTTTTCTTCCTGACCTCTCCGAACATAAAACTTGTTTTTTTATGCACATTTTATTATTTTTGCAAACTAAGGATATGTCATTTCCTATTCAGCATACAAGAAGCTTTTCAAAATATGATGGTAGTACTACAAACTGTGAAATGGCATAAGGAATAACAGGTAACAGTAAAATATTGATTAGCTATTTGTCACCATTTCTTTTTGAAAGAAAGAATTATCCTATATCACAAAGACATATAATTGGCACTGGTGAAGGACTGACAAGTACAGAGCGTTTCCTGGAATGCATTTTGAAATAGGTAAATACTTCCGGGACAATATAATGTTTCCCTGGCAATGGGAGCTCAGACAGGTTCTTGCAATGAGCTATCCACCACAGTCTAGGTCTGAAAGTAGTATTATGTTTCTGTGTTCAAAGGAATTGACAGATATTCCGAACTAATCCTTTACTTTTTCAACTCTTACCTCCATTACTGACAAGTAATGCTAACTTCCAAAAGAAAAAAAAGTAAGTTGGGTCTGGATCTTGAACAAATACATATATTTAGTGTGTTGATTTTTTTAATTAAGGCAGTTACTTGAAATGATTTTTAACACTTTATGATTTACACAGCTTTTTTCAATTAGCTCCACTAAAAAGCAAGAACATATTAATCTGTAGCAACAATATATACTTTTATTGATACCTCAAACTTAATCTCAATGACCATCTAGAAAATTTTTGCCTAAAACTTAATCGTTACTAGGGATCTCAATCTGTGATCGTGAACTCAAATTTTATTTTACTAGTATTTTGTTTTCTCTAACTTGAAGGGATAGCTTAGTGACAATAAGAGCTTTTCTCAAAGCTGAAGCATGAAATACTAAATCTCATATAATTTTTACTCAATAAATAATGAAATACATTTACTTCACAGCATTACATTTATTCTTACAGAAAAATCTACATTATCTAGATTACTTTAAAGAATAAGTATATTACATTGGATATTTTATAGTATATTAAGCGAAATGACAGAATTGTAACAGCATATTATCCAAGCAGATAACTGCATATACCATAGATTATCTAAATTGTACACTAAAATGGCTGAATCTCAACCATTAAAGGTCATATAAATTCATTTAACCTTCTCTCTGAAGAGAATACTGATTAAGGGGTCAAGAAAGGTTAATGGGATATGTGTACATCATCCTCCATAACAGGTTAAAATTCAGGCAACAGTAAAAGCCATCCAAGGATGGTTGTTGACCTGTAGAACATGAATCTCTCAGGTTAATATCCACTGCACAAGCTGAAATTGGTGCAGACTAAATACACACTTTTAAAATCTGGCAAAGATGCAATAAGACAGTCAATTTGTAGTTAGAAAATACTTTTAGAGTTCAGTAAAATGCTGATCATACTTTTAAAGACAAAGAAAAGATCATGGACAAGATGGCCACTACCATAAAAAAAAATCACCACGTGTAAAAAGTCAAATTTCTCTTTGAAGTCCAATTATAATGACATCATATATATTAAGTGAACAGCTACTTAGAAATGGACATCCTTTTAATTTGTTTTAAAATTTTAAATAATTCAAATATGAATGATAATCCATTTTCATATTACTCTGGAGAATTAAAAAAATTGGAAAAATATTATTACAACAAAAAATACAATTTCTTTTTTATATACTGAAGTAGACTTTCATAGAGAACAATATTCAAAATATGAAAAATGTACCTGATGTTCCAAAAACTACATCCCAAGGTGAACTGATGGGCTGTTCCTCTCCTTTTGCTCCACCTTCTTTGTCTGTGCCTTGTATTCCAATGCCAGCCACAGTGCTCACCACTGCAGTTTCTAGATCAATCTGAAAAAATTAAGTCTGTGATTAATAAGGTTTGTTATATTTTCCATCTTTCCTGGATGATGAGAATCTCAATAGAATATATAGACAGAACAGTACTCTCAGTGTTATACACAGGCATCTAGGTGGTGCAGTGGATTAGAATGTTGGGCATGGAATCAGGAAGACCGGAGTTCAAATACATTCTCAGATACTAGCTGTGTGAGCTTAGGCAAATCACTTAACCTGACTGCCTCAGTTTCCTTAACTGCAAAATGGGGATCTCAAGGGCACCTATCTCATAGAGTTGTGGTGAGGATCAAATGATATATCTGTAAAGTACTCTGCACAGTGCCTGACACACAGTAGACATTTAATAAATGCTTGCTTGTGTGTGTGTGTGTGTGTCTGTATATATGTATGTATGTATAGCTATGAGGCTCCTATTACTCGACTAAGACTTATATGCTCTACAAATGCTCCATATTTCTTCTGTCCCCCCTCCCATTACTCAAATAATGAATCATCTTTTTTTTTTTTGGGCTAGGCAATGGGGTTAAGTGACTTGCCCAGGGTCACACAGCTAGTAAGTGTTATGTGTCTGATGCCAGACTTGAATTCAGGTCCTCCTGAATCCAGGGCCGGTGCTCTATCTACTGCACCACCTACCTACCCCCAAATAATGGATCTTGACATCCTCAAAGGCAGATGTTCTTAATCTGGGGTCCATGGATTTTTTTAAAAAATATTTTGATAACTATATTTCCATATAATTGGTTTCCTTTGTAATCATATTATTTTATCTTACGCTTTAAAAACATTATTCTAAGAAGAAGTCCATAGACTTCACCAGACTACCAAAGGAATTCATAACACAAAAAAGTTTAAGGATGCTCTAAGGCACCAATATTTGAGAAGAAATTAATATTTAAAAACTTTTTTTAAATCAAAACACTTAGTACCTATTAAAGACCATTATACACTGAAATACATGGAAGCATGTAATTTTCAATCTCATTTCATTTCTTAAAATATAAATTCAATATTCCATGTTACAAAAAATCTTATTTCCTATTTTCTTTTTCTGAGCTTTTTTTTTTTAAAAGCTTTCTAATTTTCTTCCTAAACACTTATGGTGATAATAAAAGGAAACTAGGATGAGCTTGGAAATATCTCTTGATTTAAGGAATAATAATGCTCTTCCCTTTATTTTTATTTTTTATAGTTTCTAAACCAATTCAGAGAATAGGAAAGGCCATCAAAAAACTATAACTTGTCATCACTGTTCTATTAATTGTTCTTCAACATCAAGTGGTATATAGACATATTATGATTAATGGTGTAACAACTATTAAATTCTAAAACAGAAATGATCTACGTAGACACTTTGAAAAGGAAAAAGTCTTACAAGTTTACACTTAATTCCTTAAAAAACTACAAATATCTGAGACCCTGAAAGTCAGATTCCACAAAGTCTTGCTCTTAAGCCCTATCATGGCATGGCAGTGAATCAGGAATTCTAAGTTCTTGAAGCACAGCACAAAACCTATGTTCAAAAGGCTTAGGGTATGGTCCTAGAAACAGACTGTGCCTGCTTTCCAAAGACTAGGGTAGTTAAAAAGAGAGAGGATCACTACCAGTAGGTTGACCACTTGGTGAATTCTTTGGCTGTGGCAAAAATGAAAAAAAAAAAATCAAAATGGCCATTAAGCCTCTGTAACACCTTTCCACTTCTGCAGTAATGGTGGCTGAGGGAAGAAAATGGGGTAGAAGATGATAAATATTACAAAGTTTTAGCCTGCCAATAAATATTAACTTAACTATTGATATTCTAAATGTGAGACCTTTGTCCAAGGAATACCGAGTGGACATCTTACTATGATAACTGAACCATAACAGTTTTGTGTTTTATCAAGCAAAAATAAGCACCTACTCTATTCCCTATTGGAATAACCAGGGCCGGATTTCCAGACCCAAAAAGAGCCCGAAGTTCTATTGCTCTCAAATTGTAGACCCTCTCAGTTGAGGTGGCTGAGTTCAACAGCTATCTTCTGGAACTTCCAAGCAGGGACACCTCACTCTGTTCTTGTGGTCAGAGCCACGTAGTTGCTGTTCATTTCTACACTTGTTCCTCCCTAGGACACGTGACCACTCCCTGCCTGGCATGCGACTCCTAGGTCTGCCCTGGATCTCTGGCCTGGAACTGGGTAGCTCGTAACTGAGCTGCCAATTTGCATTTGTTCCTACATGAAGTCAAGGTTGCGAGTCTGGGACCTTGTCTAGCCCTGGTGCATAGCCTTGTCCTCTTTCAGTTCCGGAGCCCTGGAATGGTCACATGGTCCTGGATGAACCTCCATCCCTAGTGTCCATAGGATCTCTTGGCCCCCCTAAGTGAATCTGAGCTTGAAAAATAAAAAATGACTCATTCTAATTTTTTCTTGGATTTTTTTTGGTCAGGACTTCTAATATGCTTTCTAGATCTTTTTGGAGAAGGTATGCTGTAGGAGCTAGGCCATACTTCTTTCTGCTACTCTACCATCCTGGCTCCAACCATCTTCCTTAGTCCTAATTTGGCTTTCTAAAACTACATAAAATAATTCTAACTTCTTATTCAAATCCTATCCCCCCAAGTCTTCTCTTTTCTAAGCTAAAGTCATTCAATTGTTCCTCAAGACATGGCTTGCAGATCTTTGTCAATGTTCCTCTTAAAATGGGGAGACTTGAAGTGAACACAATCTAGATAAAGCCTGAACAGGTTACAATGCAGTGGAATTATTCTCTCACAGATGGAACTGACATGGACACATTTAAAATTCATAATCATTTCCTCTAATTCCAAATAATAAAGCAGCAAGTAGAAAACAAGGTATGTTTATAATTAAGAATATTTAAACTGGTATATAATAATTAAAAAACTGAAAAATTACCTTTCTTATCAAGTGATTTTCTGTATCTGCTACATATATGATGTTGTTCTTTATGGCTACACCTTGTGGAGAATTGAAAGTTGCCTCTAAAAATGTTCCATCTTTTCTTCCACTGTTGGGACCTAAAATAAAAAAAAAAGTCAGTTAATAAAATCTTTCTACTCAAAACATGACCAAGATAAAAGGAAAATAATCTCAGCTTTTTTTTTAATTGGGAGATTAGAACATACTTGTAGTACTTATTTCTACATTTCTCAAAATTGTCCTAATAATGATGTAAACTTAAGTGCAACATGATAAATTTTTAAGTGGTCTTAATTGTGTATTGCTCCCTTAAAATCTAACTATCTACTAACTACTGAAAGGTAATCTCGGTATAAAAGGAGGCTATTAGATTTTGCTACAGGGTGCTAAAAAAGCAATTTAAGTGTATTCTTTTCTATACACACCCTTTTCCCACTTCACAAAAGTCCTATTTCTTTGTCAGATTATGGTGTGGAGGTGACCCTGAATTCCAAAAGGCCATGCCAACATAGTACAAGTTTTGACAGGTCTTATTAAACTGTGGAAGCTCTAAAGAGCAGCAGGACAACAAACATAGTCTGGGGATACAGCCTTGCTAAGATGGAAAGAACCATCACCAGAAAGTTGGGCAGATGATGAATATCATTTGCCACAAAAACTCAAAAAAACTGTATATGAAAGTGTGGGAAAACAGTAATTTTCATTATTGGAAGACTAAATCAACACAACTGTCAATTGTTTGAGCTATTTTAAAAAGCTAATTACCCAAATAAATAGTAAAAAAAAAGATAATTTTGTTTCATCCATTTCTCTTTTTAAAATTAAAATTGTAATGTACATTAACATCATAAATTAGCTTTTCATTTTTAACAAATATAATAAATAATAAAAGGAATTTGAGTTCAATGATATTTTCAACCACCTTTTGTTCTGCTATAAATCAAGAAGAGATTTTATTACTTATTATTGCTCATTTTCATAGACAGCTTTATGGTTTATGAAGCATCCAAGTTACTTTATCTTATTTCTAAAATGTCATTTCCTCTTAAATCAAGGTTTTTTTTCCCCCCTTTTTTCTTTCTTTTTTTGGCTAGGCAATGGGGTTAAGTGATTTGCCCAAGGTCACACAGCTACTTAAGTGTTATGTGTCTGAGGCCGCATTTGAACTCAGGTCCTCCTGAATTCAGGGTCAGTGCTCTATCCACTGCGCCACCTAGCTGCCTCCTAAATCATGGTTTTTAAAAAAAAAATAATGAAAGCTTTCTTTTTCCTGACTGTGATACAAATACAGTAAGTTTCTCCCCAAAGAACTTTTAAAATGAAATCTTTTGTAAGTATTCCTGAGTTTTCTTCTTATTGTCTTAGATAACAAACAATTTTCAAGGTAATTATCAATCTTAGCTCCTATGAAGTAAAAGAATAAGACCCAAAATGATGAAAACTACTTTTTGCTTTGACAAGAAGAGATTTTGAATTTGAAGAAGGAAAAAAATGAATGAAAGACAATCATCTCAGATCACAGGGCAAATGGTTCTGTTCTCATGGTCCTAATTCTTCTTCTGGGCTTCTGCATTGACTGCTGTGTTCTATGGATGACACTGATACTCTGGGATCATGGAATAAATAATTTCAGGCTTACATGGGATCATTTTCTCTGATTAACAATAGGTCCCTAATTTTCACATATGAATATTTTGGGCACTATGTAATACATTTTGAAAACTTGTTTGGAAACTTTTGGATTCGAGTTATGGAGCAGAATTACTATTTTGAATATTAAGCAATTCTAAGGAGTTACTGTTCAACTGGAATTATTAATCCCTACCTGTGTATACTATGAATTGAGACTGAAAAAAAAATGACCAAAATAATATTATATTGTTATAACAAAATTACGATGGAATGGACAAAAATATTTGCTACAAATCTTTAATAGCTTAATTGTATGAAACAGCTGACAAATGTATAAAAGTAGCAAATGCAAGTGCTTTGTTAATTTATTAGTGACAATGGAAAAATTACTGTTTCCTTTGACAGAATTCAGTCTTGTTAAAGGAGTAAACAAAAATAACAATCAAGCATTTATTAAGCAGTTATTATGTGCAAGATACTGTTAATTTAGATTTTCCACACCTTATAATCTAAATATGAAGTTCCAGATTCCATTATAACTTTCTAACAAGATAAAATGCCCTGGAGAGTTTGCATTTTATCAAGGGAGATAGCATATACTTAAATAAATAAACAAACATATACAAATAAAGACAAGGTAATGGGGAGAGGGAGGCACTTATAGCTGGAAAGATAATGAAAGGCCTCTAGTAGAAAGCGATGTGTTAGCTGAAATTGTTAAGCCTAACTTTAATATTTTAAAATTTAATTTTCAATGAACAAGAATCTATTTTATCTCCCTTCCACCCACCATTGAAAAATCTAGATAGCACAGCAGGTACAATACTGGGCCTGGAGTCCAGACGACCTGAATTCAAATCTAGCCTAAGACACCTACTAGCTGTGTGACTCTGGGAAAATCATTTAATCTTGGTCTGCCTCAGTTTCTTCAACTGTAAAACAGATAGAAATAGCCCTCACCTCACAGGGTTGTGGTGAAGATCAAATATTATTCGTAAAATACCTAGTACAGTGCCTAGTACATAGCAAGTGTTTAATAAATGCTTGCTCTCTTCCCTCATGCTCCAAAACAAAACCTTTGCAACAAATACGCGCAGTAAAGGAAAATAAATTCCCACACTGGCCACATCCAAAACATGTCTTAATCTGCACCTTGAGTCCATCACTTCTGTCAGGAGATGGCCAGCATGTTTCATCACAACTCTTTTGGATGACACTGTATTGCTCAGAATTCTTAAATCTTTCAAAGCTGTTTGTCTTTACAACGTCTTAATAGATCTTATTTAAAAAGTAGACTGACCAGGTAGTACTGGCTAGTCCAGAATCTATAGAGTTGTTCAAGAAAATGGTTTATGCTATCTTGATGCTTGTTTGTAAAAGCAAAATGAACACTCTTTATTTACATTGTGCCGGAGGTTTTAGGATAAAAGCGGCAGAAATTGAGAGGTGGAGGGAACTTCAGAGGCCATCTAGTCCAACCTCAATTTCTTTTACACATGAGGAAACTGAGGCCCAGGGAGATTAAATGATTTGATCAAAGTCACAAAGGCTCTAAGGGTTGGAGAAGGGATTTGAACTGAAATGGTTTTTCCAATGCGCCATGACAGTTTTCTGATGGAAAATAAGTAAAACTTATATTTCACAAAAATCCTACAAGCTATTAAGCACTGAAATTCTATATAAATTAAAATTTGGGTTTTACTTCGTAATAATTCCTTCTTAGCTTTTAAACAAATTACACTTCCACACCTTATAATCTAACATTCCAGATTTCACTATAATTGTTTTAACAATATAAAAGTTATTTTAACAGAAAAGTGAAATAATCTCTACATTTATATTGTTTATATTTCTTCTGGGAAGGAGGAGAGGCAATAAGGGTTAAATGACTTGCCCAGGGTTATACAGCTAGTGTCTGAGGTCACATTTGAACTCAGGTCCTCCTGACGCCATGGCCAGTGCGCCACTTAGTTGCTCCTATGTATTTCTATAAATAAACAAAACTAGTTTCGGAAACCATGTTATCATTTTCTTTTAAAGGGACAAAATTATGAGTGAATTTAAAATGTAAATATGTTTTATAATTACCAACCATGATTCCACCACACTGATGCTGCAGCATGGTATTCATCACCTTCATTTAAACTCATGATACACTGGATTAATTTCATGTGACAGAAGCTAAAATTATTTTATTACGATGCTCAGGAATTTTTGTTCATAATTTTCACTTTCAATCATCTCAATTTCATAACTTGTATCATAAAAATGTATATTACACATATATTTCAAGCAGATTTTACCTCCAATGCTGTGTTGGATTTGTCCATTTTTTCTGACAACCAAAATTCTGTGATGTCCAGTGTCTGCTATCACTAACCTCTCAGCCACATTGTCTACTGTTACTTTGCCAGGAAAAAGTAAAGGAGAAGGTGGCAAAGAATCTCTATAAAGTTTTATTCCAATTTTATTGTCTTTAATCTGCCCTCTTTCTTTGTAGTACTTTAAAGCCATTGAAGTAAATAAAAACAATTTTTCTCTGTGCCCCTCTCCAATTAAAGAAAAAAGGATGTTTCCACGGGGTCCAAGTATGACCAGGGTTGGCCAACAGGAAACTTCCAGATCTTGCCAAAGGAAAGCATCAGCATCATTAACCACAGGATGGGTGATGTTATAGCGAAGAACAGCACTTTTAATGTTATCCAAAACCTTTTCATTTGGAAATTTAGCTGAATGAACACCAACAACGAGAAGGCCATCTGAAAAGTATAAAAAGAAAAGGCAAAGCCATACGTGTTATATTGTGTGAACACAACTTCTCACACTTTTAAAAGGACCAATGTTTTACTGAGGGAAAAAAATACTATTAGTCAAAACCAGAAATTACGTAAAAGTAGAGAGACTTGTTGACACTGTATTAATGTTTTTTAACCAAATTAAAACATATGTACGAATCACCATATTTGCATATAGAGAAGCTCTTTGTATGTATCTAAGAGTACACATAATAAAAAGTATTATTCTATAAAAAAGAAATCTAAGCAGATAAAGGCCTTACTTCTCTTAGGCTATTAACACTAATTATATGGAAATGTCATTGTAGTATATACTATAAGAAAAAGATATAGTCTCAGCCCAATGTTAAAGTCTTACTTGTAATATGCCCTTTGTGTGGCATTGGAAATGGCATGATTCTCTGAAAAGCCAACAACAATTCCAGATTATGTAAATACATCTTGTTCCAAAAATGATTTATAATATTCCTTTGATTTTCAGAGGGGAATTAAATTTTGAAATTTCTCCTCCATTTAGAAATTCTTTAGGTCCCTTGGAAACACTGCAACTAGTACCAAAACATAATATTTATTCAACTCAAACTTAGAATGGGTTATTTTGAATTTATTACCATTTTGTCTTCTTTTAAAGTTTCAATTCTCAAACCTTTGCACACTCTAAGAATTATAAATAAGATCTATTTGAATAAAATGTTTTCTTGACATACAAACCTTTTAATTTGTTTTGACTGTCATGATAATTAAAACATACTTTCCTTTAGATAAGATAGCTAAAAAAACAAACTTAGGAATAGAGCTTTCTATTATGTAATCAGTATAGCATGTCAACTAAGCACAGGAAAAAAACTTGAAGGTGTTATGCTGGATTCATTGAGAGAGTGTATATACCTCTTTGTATACATTTAATACTATATTCTGAATGAATATTTGCTGGAAAAATTCAAGAGTACATTTTGTTTAAAAAAAAAAAAAAGAATTCCTGGAGCTGAAAATACTTGTTTAAAAACCTTTAAAATTCTGAAACTATTTCATTTTATAAACTGATACTTGGAAAAACCCAACCATCATTAAAGAATTAGCTTCACAAGCTCTTCGCCATTTTGGAGACCAAGACAGACATTAAAAATATTTTTCATTCACAAGGCCAAAGCTAAGTTAAGCTTTGGTTATAACAGAACTCCATTAAACATCTGCTTTAAAGACATCAAAGTATACATTATCATCTTAGTTATCTCTCTAGTTTAAAATGAAAATTAAAAGATTTCACTTAAAATCTCAATAACAAATCATATGTATACAATCACATTTATTTCTTTAAATTTAAAACATTACTTTTTCTCCATTGGCAAAAAAACCCTCAAAAATCTTAACACTAAAATATAATTTCTAGTTTTGAAAATAATTCAATAAGCTTGATTTTCTTTATTTTTTCCATGACTTTGCAATTTTTTTTTGGTGAGGACAAAAATCTCAAATGATTCATAGCCTGTTCAGAGTGAACTCTACTCTCCAATCTTACTGAGATAAGTGTCCTAGAATAACAAAAATAAGTTCATATAGGAATATCTAGTTACACAGTTTCAGGTATGTGGCTTTGAATGCAAATCATTTTGAATATAAAAATCACTAAAACTTTTTTTTTCATCCCAGCAAGGAATAATACTGTGTTCTTTACTGGCAGTGGACAAGCTTTGCTTCTAAACCAGAAATTTAATTCCACCTAGAGAAATTAAAAGGTATCAAGTTTTGCAACTTTAAAAATATAAGTGAGGGACCCCAAAATTACTGTCTGAACACTTGAAAGAAAAAAAAACTTTATATTTCATTCATTATAGATGAGAAAGAGATTGAGATATTGCACAATAAATTCTAATGATCTGAAAAATATAGTTATTAACAACTGAATTATATCTGATATTCAGACTGTGTGGCATTTTCATTTTTCATTGTAAATGTTTAATGCACAAACTAAAATGTAAATGTATATTTCTACCATTTATAAAACTTTTGAAGTTTACTCTCTTGCTTCAAGCACTTGTTTGCTGAACACTAAAAATTTCCAATGAAGTTGATTTTCTGTACTGAAGTACAAGACTTTACATTTACCCATACTGAATTTCTTAAAAGATTCAGTCCATCGCTCCAGCCTGTCAAGATTTTTTTGGGTACTTGGGCTGTGTTATTTGCCAATTTGATGAGCATATTACCTAAAGCCAGGGGCTGCAGGTTCCCCACTCCTGACCATCATCCAGGTCCTACTTTGTCTTAAATTAGAACATACTGTGGAGACAGTCAACTAATTAGTTGACCATAGATTATGAAAATATGATTATACCAAAATTTCCATTTGCTTAGAGAACATTCTAATAACATTTCCAGTTATTCCATAAGCAAGTAACAAACTCCAAAAGAAAAAAAAAGCCAAGTTAATTGTAAATGTGTGTGTCCATCTGTAAATATATATGTACATATGAAGTAAATAAAGGAACAAAAACGTAATACTTTAAAACATTATTGAAGCAGAATACTATAGAAATAAAAGTACCACGAGAAAAATAATAGTCTCCTCTAAAGTTTTATGCTAGCAACACTTTGGGTACGAAATATATCAATGTAAAAAAAAAACAGAATTGCATTGATTTTTTTTTTCTAAAAGAGTTTTGACAGTCATCATAATGCTAAATACCTGAGTTTTTTATATTATAGAAAGCCTAGTTTGGTTTGAAAACCTATTTGGCTTTTCTGAATAGAAACTTTCTTATCTCTAAACTTGAGATTCATAATAAGAATATATACTTTTTTGATATGCTTTTTAGAACTAACATCTATCTTGAAATTAAGGGGCCAAGTAAATTAATAATAAATAATAAATTCTCAACATAACTCTTATGTGATCATGCATACAAGACACAGTAATAACCTTTGCATAACTAAATTATTACAGAGAAGGCCTTTTGTTCCAAAAGCTGGCTCCACTTTTAATCTAGGAAAATGAGAATATGCAAATGCCTAAGAAGTTGACATAGAGTAATTATGATAAATAGAAGGAAACAAACAAACAAACCAGGAAAGCCAGTATCAGGAAGCCAAGGAAGGAAAGGATATATTTAGGAGCACTTCATTAACTTTTTGGTATTAATCTCACAGAAGTCAACCAAATGCTTCCACAAATCATGTCTCGGTGTTGCTACAAAAATTATACTTCAATACTTTGCTAAATCTGTGAGTTTTTGTGTCAAGAAACATAGGATCACAGTAAGTAAAATGTAAACTCTTTGTGGGGAGACATTCTTTCACTTTTGCATTTTTAGACCTAGGTCCCAGCACAATGCTGGGGTGTGTGTGTGTGTGTGTGCACGCGTGCACGCGCACGCACACACGCTTAGCAAATGTTAGTTGACTGTGCAAATTCCCAAATGCAATCCAGCCCACGCTCTCCCTACTTAAGGCTGGGTCCATACATAACAATACAGAACATTTTTGCTATATGTCTCCTTTTTTCAATACTTTCTCATTTGGCATTTGATAATGCAAAGATGACTGTACAAAATTCTGTGGTTATATCTATCAAGTAATCTTGTACAATCTTAACATATGTATAGATAGAGATAATTTTCTGGAGAACCACTGGACAGGCATTTTGTTATGAGTCAAATGCTTTTTTGTAATCAACAAATTATAAGCACAGCTGGATTTTCTCTACATCTTTCAATCAATTATGAGAAAATTAAGGTTTGTAAAGTGTTTTATATATACTCACTTGATCCTCATAACAACAGCCAGTGAGGTGGCTAGGTAGAGATGGGATTCAAATCAGCTCTCTCTCTGATCTCTAAGGAAATGTATTTTTCACTACCCCATGTTATCTCAGAATACTAGGCTGGATGGAGCACTGAACTGATTCAGATATTCTTAATAGCAGAAGACTCTTGGCTATAGAATATCACTTGAGCTGGTCTGGAAACCCTTGTTGGAGTTAGATTAAGGATGCAGATTCAACTGCAAGAGGAAACTGAGGGAAGATGCAACAGTAGAACAATCAGAAGGCCTTTTTTTGCCTTCAAATCCTTTTGTGTGACCTTGGGTATAGCTCTGAGCCCATTCACCTTCAAAAAAAAAGTATTCACTCTCTACTTCACAGGATAAAGTGTTTATAAAACTTAAAAGAATTATATAAATCCAAGTAACTGAATAGAAAAAGCAATGGTGCAACAGTAATCAGAATACTTGGGTTCTAGTCCCAGATCTTCTACATTCCTAGCTAACTTACCTGCTCTAAAATTCACTTTTCTCAGTAAAAACAGGGATACAGTGACCTGCTCTGAGCCCTTTATGTGGCTATTATAAGGCTCAAATGAGACACCGTGTATGTATGAGCTCTCTGAAAACTATTAAGTGTTATACAAGACAGACAGATCTAGATATGACCTGAAAGACCATTTAATCCAATTCCCTCATTTTACAAATGAGGAAACTAAAATTAGATGATTTCTCCTTCAGTTGCTGCTGTCCACCTCAAAATTACCTTGGATGTATTTGTTTTTATTCTGTATATTCGTACATGTACATGTCGTCTCTCTCAATAGAATATAAACTCCTTGAGAACAGGCATTGTTCTATTTGTCCTTTTATCCTTAGCACCTAGCACAGTGCCTGGCACACAGTATGTACTTAATGAATGCTTGCTGATTGGTTGGCTAATAATAATAACAGCTAACTTTACACAGCACTTACTATGTAACAGGCATTGTACTAAGCACTTTACAGTTATTATTTCATTTGATCCTCACAATAATTCTGGGAGATGCATGCTATTATTATCTCCATTTTACAGATGAGGAAAGTGAGGCAAACAGACTTGCCCAGGGTCACACAGCTAATAAGTGTCTGAGCCAGATTTGAACTCAGGTCTTGACTCCAGACCCAGTGCTCTATTTACTGTGCCACAAGCTCCCTACTACTAT